GCTCCGATGTCTGCCTCCGGCTCCAGTCCCGGTCACCAACTCCTGCTCTAACCCCTGGGCATGACCACCATGTCCTGGTCTCCGACACCATGGCAGGTTTTGTAAGAGCGAGGAGTTACTCCAGTGGCCCTGGAATCCTGCCAACGGGGCTCAGGCCAGGCTGACTCAGTAGGGCAGGATCCGCTTGCTGACTCCATCCTCCCTGGCTGGAATCGGGTGCAGCTGCAAGATTAACTGCCCAGGCAGCACCTGGAGGAGCAGCCAGGGAGCAGGGACTGATCAGACAGGCAGCTCAGCTGGGCAGGAACAGGAGGGGCCTGTATAAAGCCCAGGCACTGTAGGAAGGAGCAACAGGTTCTTGCAGGAAAGCAGGCCACAGCTGCAGATACGGGGTCCCCAGGCTGGCACCCGGAGCAGTGGGTGGGCCTAGGTTCCCCTGCTGGCCGCTGGGGAAGTGGCACCGGCTGGGCAGTGAGCACGAAGATTGCCAGAGTCCATGTGTCAAGAGAGACTTTGGTACCCCCAGAAGGGGAAGCGCGCAGTGACCTGGCCGGAGGGGCCAAGGCACGAAGAGGGACCACAGAGGGTTGAGGTGCAGAGGGCAGGAGGGATGCTGCCAGAGGCGGGCGCAATGCCTGGCCAAAGCTAATCCCCAGAGCAACCAGGAGGCAGCGAGTGGACCCAGTGACAACGGGGCACATTTGGAGGCCAGCTGAAGGTGCGCATGCTCCAAGCATGGCCTGGGGGAATGGCTCTAGTCACCGGGCCGTACAGATACAGACCGCTCTTTCTCGAGGGGCAGGACATCCTGCTGATCACGGAAACCTGACGGCAGCGTCCCCACCGGCACATGCTCAGCGTCCCATCAAACGCACTGGCAAGTCCTGCGGCCGAGCCCATGGACATCACTCTGCAGACATTCTTCTTAGGCCACGTCTCCAACACAAAATTGCACCAACCTCACGTATGTCGGCACGCAGCCCCGGAGGTTATTCCATCGCTTGTGCGGGTCCCCACACGGCTCCTTGTGGCGGGGTGCGCGCCCCCACCCGGAGCGCAGTTCTGAGTTTACTGTCAGCGTGGGGCATCGGGGGACGGCCCCTGAAAGCCAGTAACGGTCGAGGTAAGCAGCATAGGGTCTACACTGACATGGGGAAAAAATATTCCTCCGAGCCAGCCAGCAAGCAGAGATTTGCATATTGCTATCTGATTGGCTGAGAGGTGGCCAATACTTTTGCTCTGGATGAGCTGCAGGTACCAGAGTTTGATGGCTCTTCCTCCCACTAGGGCAGCTTCCCCCCCCATCTGAAGTCCTGGTCTCTCCCTGCCTTTCTTCCCCCTGGGCAATTTAAGCCTCTGCTTGTTTCATCACATCTAGGTCTCAGAACCCGGCCAGTGACATCACATAGGTTGCTACAGCACAACCACGGATGTGACGGGCGGACGGGTGAAGCAACTGGCGTGTGAGTAAAGAGCCGGGAGCCCCACATTTGCAAGCTGGGTCTTTCTCTGAGAGGCCAAGCCCCGCGGGAAACGAAATCCCAAGCTCTCCCTGGAGATCTGTCTCATTGCAGAAACCGGGTAAGGAAACAAAACCATCGCTCCAAAAGTGAATTGGTTCCATCTACAAGGTGCATGGTGGAGAAACGCCAGCCCGCTTACCTGTACACCATCACTCCTACCCCATCTGGGTCTCCGGCAAGCAGGGCTCAGGTATCAGACCTGCTGCTGCTCCAGTCCTGGGGCTCCCCCACCACAGATGTGCTGATGCCTTGGGCCTCCTCTGGCCACGCCCCTCAATCCAGACCCTTGTTCCTGCAGACCTGAGCCCCCAGCCACCCTCTGCCAATGCACCTGAACCCAACTGGGCCCACAGACATCTGTGGCTGCCCAATTCCTCTTGACAGGGACCTCCGGCGACCTCCCTTCATTCAGAACGTCTCCCTTTGCACGTGGAAGGCCTTGATTTTCCGTTCTGAGCACCTGCCCACCTCCTACATTTGACAACAGGCAAATTAAGAACAAAGAAAGCAAGAGCCACAGAATATGTCAGCAAAGTGACTCAACCCCCAGCTCGCCCCATGTCCACACACAGACATGCAGCAGGCTGGGGGGCAGGGGAAGGGGAGGGTCCTGAGATTTCCAGGAGGCTGTTTCCCTCCCAATTGCATCACCTGAGTGGGATTTGAACCCCGGCCTTCAGAGATGGTGCATAAAAGACAAACAATAAGACCCAGTCCCCGCCTCCAAGATCCTACGCAGCAAAGCCACCATCACGCCATCCCCGGGCGATGCTCTGGAACTGCTCCCTACAAAGCCAGGCAGGACTCTGGGGGAGTCTCCTCTCCGAGAGCAGACTGTCTGCAGGACACACAGCTCCCCCGGCTTCCACCTTCCTGGGTCTGACCTCAGAGCATTCAGCCTCCTCTGCCCCTCTGTGCGCTTCCCACAGCTAGTCTGCCCTGGTGGGGCTCCTGGGGAAGCCAGTGGGCCCTGCACCCCAGTTCCGCAGTCAGACGTGACTCTCAGCCAGTCAGTAAAACAGAAGGTTTATTAGACGACAGGAACACTGTCTAAAAACAGAGCTTGTAGGTACAGAGAACAGGACCCTCAGTCAGGTCCATCTTGGGGGGCAGGGAGGCCAGAGCACCATCTGGGCCTCCCTCCATTTCCCCAGCCAGCTCCCAACTGAAACTCTCCCGCCCCTCCTCTGGCCTCTGTTTGTCTCTTTCCCAGGCCAGGAGGCCACCTGGTCTCTTTGTTCTCCAACACCTTCAGTTGGCACCTTTGCAGAGGAGAGGCCCAGGCCATCAGTGGCCAGGAGACAGGGTGTCGGCCATTCTTTGTCAGACACCATCACACTGGCCCTCTAGGGCTCTGCAACAATCACACCCTCTTATCCCACCACCTAGATACTTAAGAAATACCTAGGGGAAACTGAGGCACCCATACAGTATTCAGAGAAAACATTAAGAACATTCCCACTTCATCACAGCCATGCAGTGCAAGTGCATGGGCCCCTGGTAAGAGCGTGGAGGAGAAGAACCCAGGGATGACTGGCGAAGGAAGAAGGTTTGAGGGAGGGATACCAGGAAAGAGGAAAGCAAGTGAGTGGAAAAGAGGGGAGAGATACAGCAGAGACAGGGCTCTGTAGGGCCTTGGCCAGAGCTCAGATGTGCTGAGATGGAAGGCTAAGCTTGCAAAGGCTTTCTGCCATCCAGCCCCAGGCTGATCCCCAGGTGATATCAGGAATGGCAATACCATGTAATGGGGCAGATGAGACATCTCATAGGGACTTCAACTCTGAAGTCGCAGGCACTGGCCCTTGCTAGAGACACGATATTCAGCTCTACGGACCCATGTTCTGATCTAGGCTGGCAAACTGTATGTTCCTGAGAATAGGACTAAGGAAAAAAAATAGACAAGAGAGAATCTCCCTGCAACACCGATTCAGAGAGCCTGTCCTCCCATGCAAACCAGCTCACTCTCTACCGCCATTCTGTCGGACAAGGCATCAGGCAAAAATTCCCTTTGAGGCTCTATTCACAAAGATGGGAGGTGATTTCTCAACCTCCCAGCTGGCCAGCATCCCTGTTACCGTATGAAATTCATACAGTCATCCTGTTCGTGCTGACAAAGATTAATGCTGCTGGAATTTATTGGAAGCCCCTTTGATTCTTTCTGTAAACGAACATCTCATGCACATCTTCATGATCGCTCTCAGTTTAAATCACACCCGCTACTTCATTTAGGTCTAGCCAGTAACCTCAAACGGAACATCAAATTTAACACGCCTTGGCTAGTTTAAGAGATCATAGAATCATAGGAGTGGAAGAGACCTCGAGAGGTCATCTAGTCCAGTCCCCCACGCTCATGGCAGGAGTGGGTATTATCTACTATTTGTCTTTTTCCAAAATTAAATGATCCCAATCTTTTCAGGCTCTTCCCCGTGTGGAAACCCATGGAAATGAGCCCCAGATCATTTTAATCACGTTGCTCGGAGGTGGCTGCGCGGGGACCATTTAATGTGAGGAAAGGGCAGACTGGCTGAAACCGCAGTAAGCAGAACCCAGGAAAATATTTGTGTGCCTCACTCATTTTTCACAGGCAGTTTAGCCTCTCCAGGCCAGATTTTTGTTCTGTGTTTGTACATAAACTAGCACAATGTGGTCCTGCTCCCAGAGGGGGATCCCTAGGCATTCTCAAAATACAGCCATAGGAATAAAAAGAAAAGGAGGACTTGTGGCACCTTAGAGACTAACCAATTTATTTGAGCATAAGCTTTCGTGAGCTACAGCTCACTTCATTGGATGCATACAAGGCACTCCATCAGAAATGGGAATTCTCTGGAAGTTAGTTAATTTCAAAAAGCGCTACATTTCTTTTCAGCAAGGGAAACACCAAGCGACTGATTGACTGTAAAGAGGAACAGCGAAACTGACTCTACAGAGCCCTGTAAAATGCCACATGACAAAGCGCAAAGACAGAGATTTGCTTTTCTGCGAACGTCTCTCAGGTTTCCTAGTCTTATGTGCTACTTTTAACTATCGTAGGTCCAACATTTTCAGATAGATCCGATTTTCAAGACAATCGTGTCCCTTTACATTATTTCTTAAAGGAGGTGGAAGGCGGAGAAACCGACTTCATTAACTCCAGACTCTTGAGTTTTATCTCAATCCTTAAACCTTGATTCTGACCTGACCACAGTCTGTAGCTGGGTGACATGGTAACAGGTTCTTATTTACAACCCCTTCTCCCACCTGTTAATTAAACATGAACAATGATCTTACAAGAACAGACAGTTCCCACACAGCTCTGCTCCCGGTCTGAGCCGCAATTAACCATTCATAACCACATTGTTCTAGTCGGTAACAGTGCTGCAGACACCAGGTCGAGATAAAAAATACAACATCCACTACACCACTATCAATTCCTGCCTGGATGTTTCCCACTAGCGGACACCTTCATAAAGTTAATGTGCAAAAGACAAGCGGACTTACCTAAGGTAGGTTCACAGAACGGAAAGAGAGAAGAGGCGGCCCAAGACTTCTTGGAAGCCCATGGAGGTCTGGCTTTGAATTCGATGTTAGAGAGGGGAATTTGAAATTCGGGTTGGGGTTTTTTCTAACTTCAGTATCTGAAATAAAAATGAGAGAGACACTTCCTCAAATCATCAGAAATAGACATGGGTTTTCAGCTACCAAGCGTGAAAACTCCATAACTTTGGGAGGAGGAGTATAAACAGCCTAGCCATGTCCGTAACAACCCCCTTCATTTCCCCTCTTATTTGTACCGCAAGTAACCCCCGGAGACCTCAATCAGGGCCCCACCGTGGTAGGTGCTGGACAGACCACATGTCTTGCCTTGTCTTGGAAATCTTGCAGTACCAGAAGCTCAGTTAAAAGGAAGGAATTCATATGCAAGCAACCAAACCCCAGGCAGGCAAGAGTGACACCCAGCTTAGGTTGCAGTACTTAAGTCTCTCACTTTCCCATAGGTCTGTGCCTGTGACTCAACAGTACCTAAATACCTAGGTAGAGAGAGGGAACTCGGATTAGCTGTTTTGCAGATGACTTCAGACCTTTGTAATAAAAACACATGTACATTTCAGAACCCCGGGAGACAATCCCAGCTCCCAGGGAATCTATAGTGTAATCTCTGGGAGCAATGAAACCTTAACAGCAGCTGTCAATTAATACTGGCTCTCCTAGGCAATATTATCCGAGGGAGAATTGTCCAGGAGAGCCTTGTAGGATTGGTCCCTAAAGTTTTGCAGGACTTTATACGCTATCCTGGGCAATTATATTATGGTCACATTTTTCAGAGTTGGGTGTCTATATTTAGACAACTAAATCCACACTTAAGCAATTAAATAAGTGTCCTTATTCTGTGTCTGGCTAGAAGCACCCAAGTTTGAACACTTACATCCACACACAGGTCCCTGTTTAGTGTGTGACTCAGGTCCTCCTGCCCCTTTCTGCTGCAACAGCCTGGCTTCCCCCACCCTCCAGCTGCTATTCTGGGCTAGGTTTTTGAAAGGAACAGGGAAGCATGCTGTTAAAATGACAAATTCAGCATTCTGAACCAGCTTCTACTGTGCCACCCTGCCTGGGTCATTGTGTTTGTCATTACAGCCTTGCTTAAGGAGGGGAACTCCCCTTTCACCTCCTAGCACCTGTATTCAAGGGATGAGTTTATTATTACAAGGAGAACTGGGCTCTGGGAGGGATGACCAGTTAACCCTGCTGCAACTTGTCCAGAAGCATGGTGAGCCATCTAGGCTGGTATGCTGCCTTTGGCAATGGCCAGGGCCTGTTGCTTTGGAGAAAGGTAAACACCACCACCACCATCTCTGTGAAGCTGCCATTGATAGGAAAAAAACTATCCTGAAGTTCTAGAGACGACAGGTGGGCAGGCCTATGACATTCAATCCAGCCACCGTCAGCCAGTGCAGGATTGGGTGGGGGTTATACGATCAACGACTGTGCTTTTGTTGAGTTTCCCCCATATTCATCCTAATTGTCTCTTTTTTAAAGGGAGGCTCGCGAACTAAAGGTCACATTTGCATTGGTTTGTTGTTTTTTTTTTGTTTTTTTTTTAAGAAATCTCATCTCCTTGTTCCTAACAAACCCCTCAATTGTTGGCACTGAGAGAATTTTTTAAAGTTGTTATTCGTTTCCAATTTGTTCGCCTTGGCCCAGCAAATCCCACTCGTCTATTTCCTGTTTGTTTAGAATTCAGTGCCACAAGCTGCCTCTCTCGGACTGTGGCGGTTGAATACAATCCTGGCAGGGGAAGGTTAAAAGCCACATTGTGTGATGGGTTTTCCTAATTTTGTCTTCATTGTAGCATTGAAAACTCCTTTGACAAACTGTCAATAAAACCTACACTGTCTGCCAGGGTCTTTATTAATTTAATCCTGCTTCTCCTAGGTATTTGCCAGCGGATTGCCCACTACCTATGTGTCACTGAGCCGAGAAAAATAGCTTAACATGGGGAAAAAATGTTCCTCTGTGGGGAATTGGGGAAGGTGGGAACATGGCACACAGAGGAATAGGCACAAGGGGGACTAACCCAATTAAAGCTCTTGCATTGATTGTGAGAAGTAAACCCTCTAACAGCGCGGTCTCCTGCTACTCTCCCCGCTCCCTCTCTTCATCTAGCATGGGACCCTTCTGGGCCCATCTCCACGGCAGGTCCTGCTCTCCGGAGCAGCCTGCTAGGTCTGTGCCGCACGCCAATGGCGGCAGGAAACTTTTGGTCTTTATTCCCCACCTGCCGTTTTGGGGAAGGGGGAGCTTCCTTTAATTTGTACGCAAGGGGTTTGTGTGTAGACACAACTCTGGAGAGACAGAGAGAGAGAACGAGAGCACAACCCTGCGGGGGGGGGGAGAGAGTGTACACACACACACACAACTCTGCAGGGAGAGAGAGAGAGAGCGTGTGTGTATACACATGCAACCCTGCACAGAGAGAGTGTATGTACACACACACACACACAACTCTGCAGGGAGAGAGAGAGAGCGAGCGCGTGTGTGTATACACATGCAACCCTGCACAGAGAGAGTGTATGTACACACACACACACACACAACTCTGCAGGGAGAGAGAGAGAGCGCGTGTGTGTATACACATGCAACCCTGCACAGAGAGAGTGTATGTACACACACACACACACACAACTCTGCAGGGAGAGAGAGAGAGAGCGCGCGTGTGTGTATACACATGCAACCCTGCACAGAGAGAGTGTATGTACACACACACACACACACACACAACTCTGCAGGGAGAGAGAGAGAGCGCGTGTGTGTATACACATGCAACCCTGCACAGAGAGAGTGTATGTACACACACACACACACAACTCTGCAGGGAGAGAGCACGTGTGCGCGCTTGTGTGCCCACACACGACTCAGGAGAGCAGAGTGCGTTATCTCAGTGAGGAAGAAGCAGGACAGTGAGGAGAAGTGAGCCCATCTGGGAGGTTTGTGTTTCCAGCACTCAGAGATAAACCCGCTTGTGCCGCACCTCACTTGGATCAGCGTGAAAAAACAATATCGGCTGGATCAAGAGCTCTGCGCTAATGACACCAGGGGGTGGGGGCAGAGCAGCTCCCGGGGGCAGGGGGGCTGCCTCAGCTCCCACCAGCCCCTCATCTGGGGACCCACCAGCTTTCAGTTTCTCTCTCTCCCACGGGGTTGGGGTCCCGGTCCAGGAAACTTTTCACCACAATAAATAGAGGCGCCATTCCCCGGGCACTTGTGCCAGCCCCCCACCTGTTCGCGCTGACCCTGGACACATGAGGAGCTGGCATAGGGAGGGGCTGGCACAGGACAGGTATAGGGCTCTAGGGCTGGCACAGGACAGGGACTCAGGGGCTCCCCCAGCAAGGGAGGGGCGCTGGGGCACTCGGGGGTGGGAGTCACGGGTCCCCGGGGGGGGTTCGGAGCCCGGGGAGGAGGGGACCGCGACTCACCCTGCGCCGGGAGGCTCCTGGACCCTCCTGCCGGGCTGCTCCCCTCGCTGCCCGGGGGCCGCTGTCAGCCGGGCCGGGCTCCTGACTTCGGCAGCAGCCACCCAGCACTTCCGCATGGCGGGGCCGCCGCCCCCGCCGCTCAGCCGCACCCCCTGCCGGGACGTCCCAGGGGCCAGCCCCGCCTCGCCGCCCGGGAGCCCCGCACCCGCCCAGGGCCAGCCCCTCACCTGCCTGGGGAGCCGCTCGCCTGGGCCAGCACCTCACCTGCCTGGGGAGCCACTCGCCTGGGCCAGCACCTCACCTGCCTGGGCCAGCACCTCACCTGCCTGGGCCAGCACCTCACCTGCCTGGGCCAGCCCCTCTCCCTAGGTATCCTGCCCTGTGCCACCTGTTGATCTATCCAGAGATCTGTGCCAGCCCCTCACCTCCCCAGCACGGTTGAGTTGGACTGACTGAGACATGAGTTTCACCTGGATGGGGGAGCTATTCCCCCGCATGGGCAGCCCATCCACTCCAGCCCTTCATTCACGATGAAGCTTCTCTTGTCAAACTCAGTGTGTGCCTGGGAACCCTTGCCAGCCCTCCTCTTCTGTGGAGAAAATGGCTTCCCTTGGCCAGCTGTTGACTGGCCTCTTCTAGGTACCTTCATCCAAGCTCCGTCCCAAGTGGAAACCTTGGTGTGGCTCATTGGCATCACACTCTTGTTAGTAAACCCCCAGTGAGCCAAGGTGGGCTCGGGTGAGTCTCTCACACTGGGATAACACTTCTTCAGGGGAGATTTGTATAGCATTTGAAACTAGCTTTTGATGAAGTGCAGAAGCTGCCTACAAGGAGGAGAAGCCAGCCCTATGTGGCCAGCCCGCTACGTGGGGACCAAATGCCCTGAGGCTTACCAATTGGTCCAGGGGCCACCGTTTAAGAACAGCTGTGTTGCAGCATAGCACAATGGGTGCTCCAGAGAGATGCTCTGCTTCGGAGAATTTAGGCTGAGGTCCCGTCTTCCAGCTGGTGTCCATCTCACAAGCAGCTGTCCAAGATGTTGTGACACTTTTTAGAAAGAGGAAGGAGCAATACCATTGGTGGTATTTTTAAGCACTGGGTGTAAGCTGTTGTTGAGCACATCATAGTTACTCCAGGCCCAGTAGAAGCCTGAAGTGTTTTCAAGAGAACCCAGTGCGTGCTGCGTCCCACCCACGCAGCAGTCACCTGGTGAAGTGAAATTAACCCGATTAAACTCTTTTTAATCCTGATGTCAAAACTTAACCGCAAAATGAGATTTCCATGCCTGCCATCCTACACAAAGGGGAATGGAGTGATATCCCTTTCTGCTGGCCATTCAGTACGTGGCAGGGATCTGGGGCTCAGAAGAGAATGGAACTGAAACAATTTATTTGTTCCATTACATCTTCTTTCCAAACCTTCCTTTCGAGACAAGACTTCCCTTGGAACATATTCCTTTAAAAGCAACAAGCTGGAACTCCGTTCTAACGAAGCAGAATTCTGATTTGCATGGCTTAAAATATTCCAGCCTCTCACCAAAGAGTTTTTGGTAGGAAATGATAGGTTTTCTTAGCTAAAGCAGTTTTTGCAACTGCTAACCAGGAGCCTCCAGACACTCAGATTCTATGAAATCACAGCTTCAGATTCCAGCAGGGTTCCCCTAGCTCTTCATCCTTCCAACCAAGGTCAATAAACTGATGAGCTCCATGCAGTTTACTGCATGAAGGTCTTTTAGATGAGACCTTGAGTGCCAATATTCTGTTTGTTCTATGAATGTATTAAGGATTCCATGGCACTTTTCATAAGTAGGGTTTTTGCTCTGAAGTCCTTGGTCCAAAATTCTCTCTGTTGATCCATGTCCCAGATTCCTGACTCACAGCAGGGTGGCTGTATTTCAGAGCAGGGTATTCCCAGCTATTCCTGCTGGTATTGTAGCAGCAGCCACGATAGTTAGGTTGCACAGTGTTTCCACACACCAAACAGCTGTTGCCAGTCACTTCTAAATATCTGAAACTGAAAAGTTCCACAGAAATGTAAAATATTCATTTACTTGATTTGATCAGCTTCACGTGCATTGTTGAGGCTGACCAGGAATGTTATTTAATTTGGATAAAAGGTTGGGATTTAGCCCAGGGGATCTCTGACAGTACCTGAGCTGTTCCACAGTACTGTGTCAATGAATTTAGTCATCAGACCCATTCCAGCTGCAGAGATAGACACATGAAGAAAACCTCCCACACAAGCTGCAAGTCTCCAGTTTCCCCATAAAGATGTCAGAAATACTAGACTGACAATCACAGACTTTTATCTCCTCTTTTTCAAAGGTAATGTTGAATTTAACATAGATATTGGCTTGGTGACAGGGAATCAGGACTCCTGGTTTCTGTTCCTAGCTCTGCTCTTGACTTGCTGTGTGGGCCATTTCTCCTCAACATGCCACCTTCTCCTCATTTGTCAAATGGAGGTGATGTAAAGGAAGTTCACAGATTTTAACACCAGAAGGACCGCTATGATAATCTAATCTAACCTCTTGCATAACGTGGCCATAGAATTTCATGCTGCGATTCCTGTATCAGGGCCAATAACTTGTGGTTTAACCAGACAAAACCTCTCTCCTCTTAAAAAGATGTCAAATCCCGATTTAAAGACTCTAAAGTGTCCAGGATTTGTTTATTTTGGTTACTTAACAAATCAGTGACATTTTGGTGTGATTGCTGGCTGGGACACAAAGTGGCATGTAACTAAGTCAAGTGAGAGAAATTAAACTGGAAAATAATTACTCTTGGCAGAATTTAACTTTTTTATAATTTTGATTGATATCAATGTTTATTTTTAAGCATTTTTTTTTAGATTTTTATCCGTTTAAATTTTCAATTGTGGGATATGGGGGGGGGGCGCAGACTAAGGACAATAGACACTGATATTCAAAAAGGCAAAGCTTTACAAACTGTTAAAACACAAATTGTCAAAATCATACAAATTAAATATCCTTAAATCAATAAATCACACCTGCTCACTATTCATACGCTAGTCCATTTGTAACAAGCCTCATTCAACATTCTAAACCACAGTAAGTTCTCAAGCAGCATCTTTCTTACATTGCCTGTCTGTACATTTCTATTGTTATCGCTGAAAATATTTTTGTTGTCAGTTTGGGAGTGTACAGGGAAACTGAGCTTTACCGACATCAACCAATAAAAAAAAGAAATCCTTCCACACCTAGGAATAATGAATTTAAAGTTACAGGATACAAGTTACAAGGCCTAGATGTTTGGGGACCTCTATTTGACACAGCCATCAATCTAGGATATGAATATGTAGCCAGCCTGGTTGTTTGTGATATGATTAAGAATAGTTCACTTCATGAGGATTGCTGCTCATGTCATTCATATCCCTGTTCTGTTTTTGGTCCTGACTGTGCAGTCCTACCTCTAGTTTATGCCCTATGTCAGTGTCTGGTTATTGACACCTGGGGTATTTAGATTCTGGACTTGGGGCCTGAGCCTGCATCAGTTAATGTGGATGGTAACGTCCCTACTGACTTCAGTAGGGCAGGACCTTGATGAGTAGCTGGCGTGCAGTAGTTCCCTGGGGGAAGCTCCCCTCGTGAACATCACCAAGGGTGCCATGGCTCCAGGCATCATCACCTCACTCCAGCATTGCAGGGATGGGCTCTGCAAGGGTCAGTGCTGCTGCCACATGCTGGTGGAGCGTGCGCATCACATCCACTTCCTGTCCAGAGAGGTAACAGCCCAATACTCCCAGCAGCTAATGGAGCTGCTCCCACAGCTGGAGTGAGACAGGGCTAGGCTGAAGGAGCCAGGCTGCAGTGCCGCCATCCTGGGATATCCCTACCCCTGTCCTAGGCCCAGTACCCCCAAGTCCTCTGGCTGCACGGGTGCCCACCCCAGCCTTGCACACCCCAGGCCCTGTGGTTAGGCCCTGTCCCCTCCTGACCCCGCACCCCCCTGTCCTATACCCTGCACCTGCCAGCCCTGCACATTCCCCTGCCCAGCCCAGTACACCCCAAGCCCTGTAGCTATGCCCTGCCCCTGCACCCCCCAGGCCTTCTGGCTGGGCCGTGCCCCCTCCTGGGCCCTGCCCCCTCCTAGCCCTGCACTCCTCAGCCCTGCGCCCCCCGGGCCCCCCTGGCCGGGCCCCGCACTCCTCAGCCCTGCGCCCCCCGGCCGGGCCCCGCACTCCTCAGCCCTGCGCCCCCCGGCCGGGCCCCTGGCCGGGCCCCGCACTCCTCAGCCCTGCGCCCCCCGGCCGGGCCCCTGGCCGGGCCCCGCACTCCTCAGCCCTGCGCCCCCCGGCCGGGCCCCTGGCCGGGCCCCGCACTCCTCAGCCCTGCGCCCCCCGGGCCCCCCGGCCGGGCCCCGCACTCCTCAGCCTGCGCCCCCGGGGCCCTGGCCGGACCCCGCACTCCTCAGCCCTGCGCCCCCGGGCCCCTGGCCGGGCCCCGCACTCCTCAGCCCTGCGCCCCCGGGCCCCCGGCCGGACCCCGCACTCCTCAGTCCTGCGCCCCCCGGGCCCCCCGGCCGGGCCCCGCACTCCTCAGCCCTGCGCCCCCCGGGCCCCCCGGCCGGGCCCCGCACTCCTCAGCCCTGCGCCCCCCGGGCCCCCTGGCCGGGCCCCGCACTCCTCAGCCCTGCGCCCCCCGGGCCCCCCGGCCGGGCCCCGCACTCCTCAGCCCTGCGCCCCCCGGGCCCCCCGGCCGGGCCCCGCACTCCTCAGCCCTGCGCCCCCCGGGTCCCCTGGCCGGGCCCCGCCCAGACCCTGGCCAATGCCGACCCGCGTACCCACAATGCACCTGGGCACTCGCTCAGCGCCGCGAGGGGGCGGCGGGGGATGCAGCGGGAAGGGGGACTAGGGGCCTCCCCGGATTCCTCTGTGCCGCCAGCGAGGGCTATGAAACTGTCCCCGCCCCTTCGCTTTTCTCCGCTCCCATTGGTTCGCCTCCTGAGATCGCTCCGCCCCTTTCACCCAGCCCGGCTCAACGATTGGCCGCCGCGGGTTGGTCAGTTCTCACTGGGGGCCGCCTGGCGCGGGCGGCCGTTGGCAGCAGACGGGAGCTACGTGCGGCGGTTACCTGGCAGCCCCGCCCCCCGCCACGCGACCCCATAGACAGCTCCTCCCCCACAGCAACCGCCATAGACAGCCCCGCCCCCGGCCACCCGCGACACCGCCCCTCCCCCACAGCGACCCCCATAGACAGCCCCTCCCCCACAGCAACCCCCAGAGACAGCCCCGCCCCCCAGCCACCCGCGACACCGCCCCTCCCCCACAGCGACCCCCATAGACAGCCCCTCCCCCACAGCAACCCCCAGAGACAGCCCAGCCCCCAGCCACCCGCGACACCGCCCCTCCCCCACAGCAACCCCCAGAGACAGCCCAGCCCCCAGCCACCCGCGACACCGCCCCTCCCCCACAGCAACCCCCAGAGACAGCCCCGCCCCCAGCCAGTGGTGACACGCCCCTCCCCCACAGCAACCCCCAGAGACAGCCCCTCCCCCACAGCAACCCCCAGAGACAGCCCAGCCCCCAGCCACCCGCACACCGCCCCTCCCCCACAGCAACCCCCAGAGACAGCCCCGCCCCCAGCCAGTGGTGACACGCCCCCCCATACACGGTCCCTCCCCCATAGACAGCCCCACCCCCAGCCGGTCAGGGCACGGCACCTCCCCCTTAGGCAGGCCCACTCCCCTCTGCACCAGAAAGCCCCACCCCCGCTCCATCCCAACCAGACCCCCACCACAGGCCGCAGTGCCCCTCAGTGCCAGAAAGCCCCAGCTGCCTCCTTGCAGCCCCCCGCCCCATCCCACAGACTCCTCTGCTCCTCAGCACCAGACAGTTCCAGCCCCCCCCCCCCAAGCGCCGGACCACCCCAATCTCTTCCCTCCGCTGCCCAGGCAGCTCCAGCTCCCAACCCCCCCAAGCGCCGGACCACCCCAATCTCTTCCCTCCGCTGCCCAGGCAGCTCCAGCTTCCCCCCCCCCAAGCGCCGGACCACCCCAATCTCTTCCCTCCGCTGCCCAGGCAGCTCCAGCCCCCCCCCCCCAAGCGCCGGACCACCCCAATCTCTTCCCTCCGCTGCCCAGGCAGCTCCAGCTCCCCACTCCGAGGCCGACCACCCCAATCTCTTCCCTCCGCTGCCCAGGCAACTCCAGCTTCACCCCCCAAGCACCGGACCACCCCAATCTCTTCCCTCCGCTGCCCAGGCAGCTCTAGCTCCCCCACCCCCCGAGCGCCGGACCACCCCAATCTCTTCCCTCCGCTGCCCAGGCAGCTCCAGCTCCCCCCCGACTCCAGGCCCCTTCCACTTCCTAGGCCTGCCCAGTACCGGCTTTTGCCCTTTCGGGACCCCTAGCCTCTCAGCCTCAGCTTCACCCCCCCACCGTCTCCATTTCCTTGCCCTAAGTCCTCCCTCAGGTGCTAGGCCCCCTTACGCCCCTGGGTGTCACCCTCTGCCCACTCCAGTTGCCCACCTACAACCCCCGCTCCATGCCCTTCTGCACTGCTAGGCAGCTCCCAGAGACTTCCGGGAAGGAAGCGGCAGCCAGGCCTGCCACATGGTACGTACCCCCAGGAATAACCTTAGCAGGAGCAGCATGGGGTTTGCCTCTCAGTTTATGAACTGGTCCCAGGTGTGAGGGAGCGTTCACATCTGTGCCTTTAAAATTGGGGCCACAGAGGGACACCCCTCCCCATCTAGGGTTGCCAACTTTCTAATCATACAAAAACGAACACCCCTGTCCTTCCCATCTCCCACCCCTTCTCCGAGGCCCTGCCCCCGCTTGCTCCGTCCCCGCTCCCTCCATCGCTCGCTCTTCCCAACCCTCACTCGCTTTCACTGGGCTGGGACAGGGGGTTGGGGTTTGGGAGGGGGTATGGGCTCTGGGCTGGGGGTGTAGGCTTTGGGGTGGGGCCAGGGATGAGAGGTTTGGGGTGCAGGAGGAATGAGGACTCTACCTGGGGGTGGGGCTGGGGGTGGGAGGGAGGGGACTCCAGGCTGGGGCAGGAGGTTGGGGTGCGGGAAGGGGCGTGGGGTCCTAGCGGCGATTATCATGGCTCCGAGGAAGCGGCTGCCAGGTCCCTGCGGCCTCTAGGCACATGGACGGCCAGGCAGCTCTGCACAGCGCATGCTGCCTTCACACCCACAGGCACCGCCCCTGCAGCTCCCATTAGTCGTGGTTCCCGGCCAGTGGGAGCTGCGGAGCTGGTACAAGGGGTGGGGGCAGCACATGGAGCCTCCCTGGCTGCCTCAGCACCTTGGGGCCACAGGGACCTGGCAGCCGCTTCTGGGAGCAGTGCAGAGCCAGGGCAGGTAGGGAGCCTGCCTTAGCCCTGGGCCCCTGCTGCACTGCTGACCAGACTTTTAACAGCCCAGTCAGCACCGCCACCAGGGTCCCTTTTTGACCGGGCATTCCAGTTGAAAGCTGGACGCTTGGCCCCATCCCTCTTCCTGGATCTCTGCCCTGTGAGTGTGATGGTGCAGAACTCTATGATTTGGCGTGGTGCTCGTTTTCTGATGCCAGTTCATCCCCCTGAGCTCAGCATCCAAGTAAACCGAAAACCTCAGCGCAAAACTTCTCCAGAAAAACCCAAATTTTGTTTGTTTTCTAGTGGAAACGCTTAGTCAGACCTAGGGCCATGTGAGAGTTAGAACATGTTCACTTCACTGCTCACCTGCATCTTTGCTGAGGAGTCTGCCATGGATTCAGGGTTATGGGGAAAAGCAGGAGAGGTGGTATCTGTATATGGGAGAAGGAATCCGCACACAAAGTTAGTTTGCGCACAGTAACAAAACTGTAACTTGTTGTCTAAAATCCTTAACCTGAAATAGCTAACTGATCTTAGGAAGTGGTAGTGGCTAGACTTGGAAAAAGAGAATAAGGCAGAGGCTGTTACTGAATCAGTTCGCTATTGTTGCATTATATGGTCTATGGTATTATGACTCATGCACTCACTTCCAAGTCTGCATTATAATTTGTGATGCTGAGTAATAGTATTCGTGGCAGTATTCGTGCTTCTCACAGATCATTTATGTGAATAGAGGAAGAGTGGGGAGTCACATGGAAGAGCAGCCAGAAGAGTTTTGGGAAGGTAGCAGTCAGGCTCTCAGCTGACAGGTCTTCCAGCGTAGTGTGGAATGCACGAGGCAGATCAGAATCCACCTCTCAGCCATAGCTGCATTGTTGTAGTTGGGAGAGCAATTTGTGTTAGTGAACTGAGCAGCTACAGTGTGACTCAGAGATACACAGGAGAAGATTGCTTGAGTAAGAAGGAAACTTTTAAATATAGCTGCTTTTCTGGCTCCAACCACAAACTTTCCTTCCAGTTTTCATTACAGTAATTATCATGGTGATTTCTCTTCCACATTGTATATAGTGACAGCATCTTTCACCATGTACAGTGCAAAAATGAAATGCAGTTAGCAATCCATATCTGGCCTTCTAGCTAGGTAATCCAGTCTTGAAAGCTTAAAACAACACAGACTTATATTCAGATCAGTCAAGTTTTAACATTTCAACTCCATACCTTTTACTTTCACATATATTTTATATTTAAGCCAATTAACTAGTTTATTTGTTAGCAAAAGACCAGTTCTGGTGAGTGTATGGAAGATA